TTCTTCTTCTTCTTCTTCTTCTTCTTCTTCTTCTTCTTCTTCTTCTTCTTCTTGAAAAATTTAAGCTGTAGACCGGGTTTAGCGGGTTTCGGAATATAACTTGTCCTTCATGCCCAGCAGGTATCGGGTCTCAGGGGTAAGAAGCGCGTGTCTATCGCGTCGGCGTCAGCCGGCCCCAGCGGCTCGGGGGTGGGCGCGGGCGTCCACAGGCCCGGGTCGTCCGGGCTGCCGTCCTCGCAGTCCTCGCAGGTGCTGGCCGCGACCTCGCTGTTCCTGCAGAACGAGCAGCAGACCTCGCAGGCCGCGAGGTCGGGCGGCGGGCGGCTCGGCCTGGGCTTCACCGTGCCCTCCATCAACCTCCCGACGCTCGTCCGCGGCCGCACCAGCTCCGAGGACCTGGGCGACGGCTACAAGGACAGCGGCGTGCGCCGCCTGAGCCAGGTGAGCCCAATCCCCATCTTGGAGATGCCTCACGATGAACGTCCCCCGAATAAGCGACGCGAGGGAGGGTGGGGCACAGAGCGTTCCGCCATTGGGGCGCCCATATGGGGCGGGCCGCTGGCTCCACACAGCTGCTCGGCGGGTTGGCCTACCCCGCGCGCTGCAGGCGCTATCATTGCCGTAGTTGAAGCCGCCAGAACTGATTTTCTGTCTTTGGCATAGCTCACATTTTGTGATCGAGGCCGAAATTAGAAAACGTCAATGTCTGTGAGCACAGCCGAAAGGCAGGCAAACTCACGTGGGCGATGTCGCCTCGGGGAAAGTAAGGACGTACGCCCCCCAGCCCAAAATTGTTGTGACTGACCGCTTCATCTCCTTATCGGTCTGCAGTCGTCCAAGCACCTGGGGTCCACGGGAGACCTGCCGCTGTTGGCCGCGGTGGACGTCGACGCGGACGGCGACGGCTTCGAGCTCGGGGACGTGGCCTCCTGCTCGTTCAACTCGGCGTTCAGCCCGGACGACTCCCGGCCCGGGCCCAGTTCAGCGCAGAGGTAACTTGTGTTCTTTTACGAAACCATAAACAAGGAGCCTGTCCGTGTATCCCGTTGGGGCTGATCCGATCGCGTCCGTCGGTGTTCCAGCACGTCGCTCGTGCACGCTCCGCACGCCATCATCGTCACCTCCCCGACGCCGTCCTCGTCGCCCCGGCCCGCCACCCGCACCGGCAGCGCCGGCAGCGGCGCCGCCTCGGGCCGCGGCGGCAGCGCGGGCAGCAGCGCCGGCGACAGAGACAGGCCCGCCAGGGAGATCATACTGAGCCCGGGAGGGTTGGGGCTGCAGTGACAAGACAGGCTTCAAGACTTTGCTTAACCATAACGTGTAATGATGATACCAACGATATCAAAAATAACAATTATA